GGAGGGGAGGAAGACAGGGCTGGGGCTTCAGCTCACCAGACCTTCCCTGACCCACTGCTCAGGGATGGAGACTCTGAAAGACACACCGGCCCCACGGCTCCTGAAGACACACCTGCCCCTGGCTCTGCTGCCCCAGACTCTGTTGGATCAGAAGGTCAAGGTGAGGCTGGGCACAGTGTTTCACATCTGTAATCCCAGCACTTTGGGAGGCTGAGGTGGGAAGATCCCTTGAAGCCAGAAGTTCCAAACCAGTCTCGTCCAAAAAAAAAAAAAAAATCAGGTATGCATAGTAGTGTGTGCCTGTAGTACCAGCTAATCAGGAGGCTGAGGTGGGAGGATCACCTGAGTCTGGGAGTTCAAGAGTGAAGTGAGCTATGATCACACCACTGCACTCCAGACTGGGTGACAGAGAAACCTTGTCTCAAAAAAAGATGAAGAATAAAAAGAGGGGCCGGCAGGCGTGGTGGCTCACGCCTGCAATCCCAGCACTTTAAGAGACTGAGGCAGGCAAATCACTTTAGACTAGGAGCTCGAGACCAGCCTGGCCTACATGGCAAAACCCCATCTCTACTAAAAACACAAAAAAAATTAGCCAGGTGTGGTGGCGGACATCTGTAATCCCAGCCACTTGGGAAGCCGAGGCAGGAGAATTGCTTGAACCCGGGAGGCAGAGGTTACAGTCAACCGAGACCTCACCATTGCACTGCAGCCTGGGAAACAAGTAAAACTGTCTCAAGGAAAAAAAAAAGGGGGAGCTGGGCGTGTTGTGGCTCACACCTGTAATACCAGCAGTTTGGGAGGCTGAGGTGGGCAGATCACCCGAGGTAAGGAGTTCGAGATCATCCTGGCCAACATGAAGAAACCTCATCTCTACTAAAAATACAAAAATTAGCCAGGCGTTGAGGCAGGCGCCTATAATCCCAGCTAGTCAGGATGCTGACGTGTGAGAATCGCTTGACCTGAGAGTCGGTGGTTGCAGTGAGCTGAGAGCATGCCACTGCACTTCAGCCTGGGAGACAGAACGAGACTTCATTTCAAACAAATATTTAAAAAGGTTTGCCACCTGTGATGGCTCACTGCTATAATGTCAGCACTTTGGGAGGCTAACGTGGGTGGAACACTTGAGCTCAGGAGTTCTAGACCAGCCCAGGAAACATGGGGAGACTCCATCTCTGTAAAAAATACAAAATATCAGTAGGGCATGGTGGTATGGCGCTGCAGTGCCAGGTGCTCAAAAGTCCGAGGCTGGAGGATTGCTTGAGCCTGGGAGGTCAAGGTTGCAGTGAGCTATTATCACTCCAGTGCACTCCAACCTGGGCGACAGGAAAAAAGAAAGACCAAGGTCTTTTTTTTTTTGAGACAGAATCTCAGAGCTCAGGAGCTCCTGAGATAGAGTCTCAAAAAAAAAAAAAAAAATCCCACAACACACACACCAACCAGAAAAATCAAAGGTCCAGGTAAGGTGTGGGGCATGTGAATCCAGGGAAGGAGGCCCCGGCTCAGCCCAGCTTTGGTCCTGTTCTTCTGAGAAAGTCGCCTCACTTCCTCCAGCCTTGTCTCATCTTCCGCGGCAGGGGGACTGTCTGCCTCTTGCTCTGATGACCAAGAACATGAGACTTCAGTGTAGATCTAAGAAAGGTAGAGGGTGGGTCCTCACAGGACCACAAAATTTGGTGGTGGTGGGAACATGCCTGG